ACGATTTTAAACTCTGGGTGACTACAAAATTAAATGATATTCTGGATGCTCAAAACAGAGCACGAGAAATTCTGGTGTTTTAGACTGTTTCCTCTATCAACATATTGCTATTCGTTGTCACAGAGAGTTGAAAACTTGAAAATTAATGGCAACTTTTGGGGCAACTTTTGACACTTTTTGTGGCAACTTTTGGCAACTTTTGAACCCCCCCCCCAAAAAAATGGCAACAAACGCAGATGCTAGTGGAGCGCTCATAATAATATGACCGTATGCAGTTGCGAGCGCCGTAAAACTTACTAATAAAACTAAACTAGATGCTAGTGGTTTTGTGTAAAAACAAAGAAACATAATAGATTCTAGTCATAATTATAGATCTACTTAGCCTATATTTTAATAGAAGTATAGACCTAGCCTACTCCTTTTACTTTTAGGCCTACCAATTTAGGCCTTGTTAAAGTTTTTAATATTGATGCTCAACCCAGGGGAGAACCAACTGGATGACTATAGATCTAGTGATCTAGAGTCTAGGCTTATTTTTACTAACAATCTCCAAAATTCTAATAATTGTTCGAATAACTCTGTCTGGTTATTGTTACAATTGTGAACGGTCGATACGCAAGAAAAAAATGCGTTTTGTCAGATCATCTCTGAAAAAAAAATGTGTTTCATCAGATCACATTGGAAATAAATGCGTTTTAACAAATCTAAAAAGCTAATTTATTTAAAAACTAGTCGCAGTTAGACTTTCATAATTATATCTCAATTTGACTTTCGACATGTAGATCTAGAATTCATGAGTGGAATAAAAAAAATTTCCCGCCAAAATGAAAAAATGCGTTTTGTCAGATCACGGCAGAATTGTACTAATAACTAGTTTGAGTTGTACGCACTATAAGTACCAATAACCACAGCCATCATTTAATGATCAAATAGGCCTAAACCACTGACCTAAAAAGATAATCTTTTTAGGTCAGTGGCCTAAACAGGGAAATGGAGTGTCTACATACACGGTAAGTACGGTAACCGGGCAACTAGCCTCAGTGTCTACGTACACGGTAACCGGCAACCGGGCATGTAGTCTCAGTGTCAAGTATACAGTAACCGGGCAGTTCAGAACTCCAAGTTCAGTTTTTGTCATCCGGTATTGCCTTCATCCCCACCCTTCCCCCGACTGTACCTTTTTTTTTAAAAAATCAATAATCCCCCCCCCCCCCCCCCCC